TTTTTTTTCTCAGCAGGGGTCCTCTACCACTGAGCTGTACCTGAAGCCCTTTTTATTTTGATTTCTTTTTTCTTTCTTTCATGGTGTGAGAGATGGAATCTAGGTCTCACACATGGTAGGCTACATCCCCTTACTTTTCATTTTGAGACAGGGTCTCACTAAGTTGCCCACGTTGGCCTGAACCTTTGATCCTCCTGCCTCAATCTCCCGAGTCGCTGAGATTTTAGGCATGCACCACCACACCTGGCAAGAATCACATCTTGAGAGAAGATGATAGATAGAGAAGATGAAGGGAGAAAGCTGGAAATACCAGGGCAGAAGGTCTGTTTCATATCATCTCCATCTCAGGGAGGGAAGGAAACCAAGCTTTGCAAACGACCAGCAGACTGAGATGTTCTTTGCAAAGACTAGAGTCAGCTAATTGAAACAGCTAATTCAGAGCCTCCCAGAGAAAATTGGCTTGTCACATGGGGTGTACCTCAGAGAACCGTCCTGCTATTTGAATTTGATATTCAGCATCTCAGAAGAAGCTAATAGTAGTCATTTTAGGGAACAGCGCTATTTGTTGAACACACAACATTGTTTGTGAATAGGTTTTGATTTTATTTTGAATCACATTGGAGGGAGAGATACTTAATTCTTTTCCAAAGGATTTACTCAGGCCCTGCCAAGCCACAAAATTCCTGTCTGGTTAGTGAGGCCATCAAATGCTAGGTAAAAAAAAAAATGGAAATGATGTTTGCAGTTTGGGCCTGGGAGACCTATTTTATTCCACTGACTGAAAACCAGTCAAGATGGGAAATATATGGATCCATATAACTTTTATTTGATCCGTGTTCAATATGAAGATATGGATAAATTGGGTTTTAAAAATCTATGTAGATTGTATTGTTTTATTACTATTATTATTTATTTACTTACTTATTTATGGTATTGAAGGTTGAACCCAGGGACACTCTACTATGGAACTCTATCCTCAACTTTTAAAATTTTTAAAATTTTGAGACAGTCTCATTGAGTTGGCAAGGTTGGCCTCGAACTTGCGATCCTCCTGTCCCAGCCTCCTGGGTAGGTAGCTACTTGCATGTTTTTAAGACAGAAAGACATAACTGAATTTCATCTCTCCGCCTCCAGGTTCTTCGCACCTAAATGGGCTTTATGGCAGTACAGAGAGTTGGGGAACCTGTTCCTTCAAACCAGTCAGGATAGTGTGCATAGAATCCAGACCCAACTAGGAGAATCATGGTAAAGCCACCCACTGTTCCCTGCTTTCTACTGGAACCTTCTCTTCAACATCTGCCAGAATTCTCACTTGGCAGAGAAATACTCTTTCCTGTCCCTCTGTGGGTTCTATTGTTTGTGCCGTGACTGTCCCTCACTCAGCCTTTCCTTTCCTATTGTTCACTTCTCCCTGTAGAATCGATAAAAATGTTCCCAGGGAATGAAAGACTTCACCACAATATTGGGGACGCGATGGCCCACCTGATGCTGCAGCAGTCATGGAGTGAATGGAGAGATCGATGGCTAAGGAAACCCAACACCTTGCAAGCACCACCTTATTCTACAGTGGGAAACCTCGTAGCGGACCCAGGTACTTCCACGTCACAGCCGCGAGTGACTCCCACGTGACTTTCACCCAGCAGCAGCAGCCTTTGCTACTTCCTCTGCTCGTGATGCTGATTCTCCTGAGCCATTCCGCTGCTCAGAGGTGAAGTGGAAGGCCAAGGCCAAGCTCCCGGCCGTGCCTCCCTCACCCGTCCTTCACCACCATTCTCCTACCTTGGTTGGTTCTGTACCTGGTACTTGTTGGTAGAATTAAAGGGAATCTCTGCTACTTTGGGGTACTTCTCTCTCATCTCCTTCACGGAGCTGTAGGACTGCTCGATGAACTTGAGGAGGGCTGACTCAGAAGCATCCCCTGTTGTTTCCCGCTGCCAGGACGGGTGGTACAGTCAACCCCAGGAACATGCCACCTGGGCACGGGGCTGGCCTGAGGCCACAGGGAGAGGGGCAGAGTGGGGACGGGCGGGCAGGTGTCTGGGGGAAATCACCGAGTGCTAAGAAAGAGATTTGGGGGTGGAGAGGGCAGGGGATACCCTGGACACCGAGGTACCTCTTCCCCCTTAGGCTTGACACCTGAGCTATGGGCAGGGTTTCTTGATGAGCTTTAAAGTCTGCCCGATTGCAGAGGCCCGCGATTTGGGCCAAGATAATCCAAGTATCAGAGTCCTTGGCAAATGTTTCCCCTAAAGAAAAAGAAGGAAAGAACTGTGAACAGGGCACAGTTAAAAGCAGGGGATTACTCACATCCTGTTCTGTACCCAAATACTGCCCCAAAGTGACATTTCTTTTCCTCTATCCCTCCCTTCTCTCCGCTCCCCTCTCTTGAAGCTCTCTCCTCTTTGAGCTCAACATTCTCTGAGCTCACTCATCACCTGCCCTCATCCTTCCATGCCTGGTCTACCAATACCACTAGTCACCAAACTGTCTTTCATTGGTGTCAGCCTCATGCACGTTGTAATCAAACCACAAGTGGGCTACGGTCATGCGGTTCTGGGTGAGGGTGCCCGTCTTGTCCGAGCAGATGGTAGACGTGGAGCCCAGCGTCTCTACCGCCTCCAGGTTCTTCACTAGGCAATTTTTCCGCGCCATGCGCTTGGCTGTCAAGGTCAAGCACACCTGTAGCCACAAAGAGGGGAGAGAATGGACCCAGAGATGGATGACTTACATGACTTTGTGTTTTGGATATTTAATCTATTTTATTTCCCTTCTGTTCTCACCTACTCCTTAGAGAGTTCATCTGTGGCCCCGGCAAAGGAAATTAGGAAAGTAATTTTTTTTTTTCACTACTGAGGATTGAACCCAGGACCACTGTACCACTGAGCTACATCCCCAGTCCCTTTTTATAATTTTCAATATTGAGACAGTATCTTGCTAGGTTGGCCAGGAGTTGCATTTGAGATCTTCCTGCCTCAGCCTCCTGAGTCACACTGGGTTTACAGACTTGTGCCACCACAAATCCCGCTAGGGAAGAGATTTTGATTTGTGCTTTGTGGCAAGAGTTTTGGTGTATTTCTTACCAGAGTCACAGAGTGATCATCTCCCCAGGGTTCTTGCAGGGTTTTCATTCAGCAGCCTCCTCTCTATTCAAGTCTGGGCCACATCTCTGTCTTAACATCCAGTCTTTCTACGACTGCATAGATAGCTAATATTTTGTGGTGGTGTAGGATGCTATCTATGTATGTGTGGATGGATTGGGGGGTGAGACACTGTACCAATAGTCGAAAAAGTAGATAGGATGAAATGAAGACATTGGGAGGGAATATTACAACACTGAAAAAGGACTTGAGAAATCATTTAAACCAGAAGATTTTTGTTGACCAAAAATTCAATGTGAACTGACTGGGGTGGCACATGCCTATAATCTCACGGACTGGGGAGGCTGAGGCAGGAGGATTCGAGGTCAGCCTGGACAATTTAGTAAGACCCCGTCTCAAAATTTAAAAATAAGAAAAGCGGGAGGTGTGGCTCAGTGTTTGAGTACCCCTGGGTTTAATTCTCAGTGCCACCACATTAATTAATTAACTAACTAACTAAAAGTAAGCCTGGTGTGTGGCAAGGTTTTCGTAAACGCTAATAAATTCTTAGACTGTGGTTATGTCCGTACAGGATTCTAATCATGAGGTGGTAGTTTATTTATAATCACCCGTCTCAATGTTTTCATGCCAGTCCAAAACACCCCAGGTATTATTCTCATTTCTATTTTAAGACTATTGATAAACTGGAGCATACCCCAAATGGGTTCTCAGCAAGGCAAGATGTCTGAAAACCTTGTCACAGGAAGAATGGCTAAAGGAAAAGGGATTATTTTTCCTCCCACTGGGAGAGTTTGAAGGGATGGAATGGATACCATCATTAATCTACAGGGTTAGACTGTAGAAGAAAGAGAATCAACTTATTTTGTATTTCTTTAGGTGTAAAAGAGAGAAGATGAAAACGCAGAATCACATTGCCGCTTAACACAGGGACATTTAACTACAGGAGCTGGGCGTGGTGGTGCAGGCATGTAGTCCCAGAGACTCAGGGAGTTGAGGCAGGAGCATCACAAATTCAAAGCCAGCCTCAGCAAATTGGGGAGAACCTGTCTCAAAATAAAATAAAAAGGGCTGGTAGAGGGCTGGGGATATAGTTCAGTTGGTAGAGTGCTTGCATGCACAAGGCCCTGGGTTCAATCCCCAGCACCACCACCAAAAAAAAAAAGGGGGGGGGGCTCTAGTAAGGCACTCCTAGGTTCAATCCCCAGGACCAAAACAAAATAAAAAACAAAAACAGACGAAAACTTAAATTATAGCCATCTAATAGTTAAATGCTAGAGACAGTGAAAATGGAATAGAAAAAAAATAATCTTCCATGGATTTTATAGAGGATATTGAACATTGGTTTAAAGGTTGGAAGTCCTTTCCGGTAGCATTCTGTGATTCTCAATTAATCTTTCTCTATAAACTGATGAAGTGAGGCCTGGAGATGTGAAACCCTTTGGCCAAGTTCACCACTAGTACACCCAGAAACTCGAATTCAGACCAATGCTTCCTCCATCACCATTCACTTCCTCTCACTGAGGCGAAAGAGAAGATGCCAGAAAATATGGACAGAGGAAGTGACGTCACATTGGTAGCTGGATTCTTTCCCGCACCCATATGCGTATCAGGAATACCGTATGTGAAAGGTTCAATGACAAAGAGGTACAAGTGATTTCATTTCCCCGGGGGTGATTGGTCTGCCTCCAAGGCTCTCCTCCACCCTGTCTACTCACAGTGACAGTGGCCAGCAGCCCCTCAGGCACATTGGCCACAATGATGCCAATGAGAAAAATGACAGCCTCCAGCCAGTCATAGCCCAAGAGAAGCGAGAGCCCAAAGAAAGTGACACCGAGGAAGATGGCCACCATCGTGATAATATGGATGAAGTGTTCGATCTCCTTAGCGATGGGCGTCTTGCCAACCACCAGGCCTGATGTTAGCGTGGCGATTCGGCCCATCACCGTGGAGTCTCCTGTAGCAATCACAATACCCTGGGCTGTTCCTGTGGGCGAAAGGAGAGGGACAACGTGATATAGAGATATAAGAAATACTGTCGTGGTCTCTGCTCCCAGTTCCTGGGATTGAACCCAGGGCCTCGTGCATGATAGGGAAGCACTCTACCACTGATAGCCCTAGCTCTTGCCCACAGTTCCTGACAGAGAGCTCCTAAAACCCTTATCTGCTAGGAGAATCTGTTGTTTTTCTTTTTCTTTTCACCATCCCCCACCCCTGACTTTTTTTTTTTTTTTTTTTGAGACAGATCTGGCTAAATTAGCCAGGTAGGCCTAGAACTTGTAACCCTCCTGCCTCAGCCTCCCGAGTTGCTGGGATTACAGGCATTTGCCACTGTTCCCAGCAAACTTTTCCTGTTTTATATGGTGCTGTGGATTGAACCCAGGACCTGGTGTATGCAAGGCAAGCACTCTACCAACTGAGCTACATCCCCAGCCCCAAACTTTTCCTTTTTGGAAGTAGCAGTTAACCAAGGCAAATTCAGTCATTAAGGTTCTCCTCAATTCATTATGCAAATAAGGGTCTCCAAGTTGGAAACGTCTCTGAAGAGATCTCACAGTTATCCAGTGATACCCAACTTTACTGCCTAAAGTGCCTTGAAGAAGGTCTTCGTGCCAGGTGCATGGTGGCATGCGCCTATAATCACAGTGACTAGGGAGGCTGAGGCAGGAAAATTTCAAGTTTGATTAATGGTAGCCTCGGCAATTTAGTGAGCCCTAAGCAATTTGGTGAGACTCCTTCAAAATAAAAAGTAAAAAGACCTGGAGATGTAGCTCTGTGGTAAAATACCCGAGTAATAAATAAATAAATATTTTTCTTTTAAAAAAGAAGGGTCGTCTTCATTTCACTTATCTGAATATTTCCTGTTGCCTGTATATTTCCTCCTCCAGCTGCTGAATTGTTGTTACACCCCCAGGAATGGTTCTCAACTGGAAGCAATTTGCCCCCCACCCCTCACGCAGGGGACTTTTGGCAATGTCAGGGGACATTTTGGTTGTCCTAAAGAGGCTAGGAGGAGCTGCTATTGGCATCTAGTGGGTAGAAGCCAGGGATGTTGGTAAAGGTCCTGCAGTGCCCAGGACAACCAACCTTCCTCCTCCCCCAACAAAGAACTGTCTGGCCCCGAATGTCAGTAGTTAGGAAGCTCTGCTTAACCTGCGCCCATGACTGGCTTTGCTGACTAGAGCCAGTCTGACCTCTGCTGGGGAGCACAGGCCACAACAGCTGGGCTGCTGTGCCTACCCAGGGCTCTTCCCTCCACCAGCACTGCTCCAGGAGCCGGAAGGGCAACTGGGACATCAGGTGTGGCTGTACATACACATGATGTGGGCATTCTCCACATGTCTTAAATGAGGGGCCTGGCAAGATTCTTGACTTCAAGTAATTCTTCCTGCTTTACCATAACGACTGGAATTTCTACCATGAAACTCAGAGTCAGAATCACTCAGGAAAGAAACATGTTATGGAAATAGCACTTATTTTAAAATTCAGTGTACATTTAGACTTATATTCAGAAGTTACTCTTCTTTCTTTTTTCTTTTTTGGATGGGGAGGATGGGGATTGAGGTGTGCATGCTAGATAAGTGTTCTACCACTAAGTCATATCTTCAGCCCTGTTTTTAAACTTTATTTGGAGACAGGGGCTCACTACAATGCTCAGAGTCTTGCTACATCGCTGAGGTTGGTCTCAGATTTGTGATCCTTCTGCCTCAACCTCCCAAGTCACTGGAATTACAGGCAT